AGCCACCGTCCGGAAGGGAAGAGTGGACAAAAGAGTTCGTCCGTGCGTCTGCACTCAAGCTTGTGAAGCATAGCTTGTCGCGTTGATAAGTTTAAGGGTGGATGCTCGGCTCTGTAGCCCACTCAGATTCGTATTCTAGGATGATGCATACAGACGGAGAATTTTTTACAGAAGAAGGAATCCCTAAATGATTTAACTATAGAATTAGGTAACGTGAAATCTCAAATTCTGAAAAATTTTAAGATAATTTTTGCGGAAGTGTGATATATAGGTTCAAATAAAGAAATAATGAATTTCATTGCAAGTGTTAATAAAATTCGGTTCTATCGTGAATTCGATTACTTCAAATTCTTCTTAAATATTTTTTTTAATTGAAAATAAAAATTCAAAAAGAAATTTCATATTATTTGAGGAGTTCTTATAATATATATATATATATATATATATATTTATTTATTTATCAATATATTTATATTAATATATACCGATTTAAATTGAATTCTGATTGAAATATCGATATACAATTAATTTAAGGAAGAATTTCGAAAATATAAATTTCTGAATAAAATATTGTTTATTACTATTATATATATAAATATATATGTATTCATTTATGATCTCTCTATATTATCGATTGATTATTTACTTTGCTATATCTTATAAAAATGAATATATCAAGAAAGCTGTTAAATCTGACTTTGAATATTTTCTGACTTTCAGGTTTGGTTGGGATGGGAGTTTAGAGATGAGGTAACTTCTCAGGTGTAGGCTTCAGGATTTGGGTTGGGAGGCTAGTGTGGGGTTTAGGGTTCGCCCGATCGGGCGAAGCCGCCGCCAACAGCGGCTGCTTCTGGCAGCGTGCAGCCGCGCCAGCGATGAGGCCGGCTGGGCCTGCGGAACAGGCTTCAAAACCCAAGCCTAAGCCTGTTCCGCAGGCCCAGGCGGCCTCATCGCTGGCGCGGCTGCACGCTGCTAGAAGCAGCCGCTGTTGGCGTCGGCTTCGCCCGATCGGGCGAACCCTAAACCCCACACTAACCTCCCAACCCAAATCCTGAAGCCTACACCTGAGAAGTTACCTCATCTCTAAACTCCCATCCCAACCAAACCTGAAAGTCAGAAAATTTTCCCTAAACCCAAACCCTACCCGGCCCTACGCCCTGACCCAACACCTTGAGCAACATCCCTCTTGCCTGCCCTCAACCAAACCAAATCTGAAAGTCTAAAAAAACTCAAAGTCAGTTTTAACAGCCCTTCTGATTATATATATATATATATATATATATATATATAAATAAATAATTTTTATAGATTTTCAGATGATATTCTCTTTGATTTTAAATTCTTTGGATTTCTTAGAGGAGAATTTGATATCTAAGGTCCGAGCATCTAGAAATTATAAAGAAGCTTCTATTAATTAGCAATAGAATTATAGAATCAGAAAATCTACTATATGAAATCCGCATAAGAATATAGAAATTCTGGTTCGCGTCTGAATTTCTGTTTGGGTTAGTACGCTCGGGTTAGTATCCGGATTTATAACCGATTTCGTGCCTCGTTCGTGTCTGGTAGTATTCAGATTCGTATTTATTTCGTATTTATTTGGATCGTATTTGGTTCGTATCTGATTCGTGATTGGTTCGGAATTGGATTCGTATTTAATTCGTATTTTAGTTAGATTTGAATTTATATTTAGAATCATATTTAAATTATATAGATTGATTTGATTCATATCTTAATTATATGAAATAAATCGTCGATTTCATATATCGAAGTTAGAATCTTTTTGGATATATTTATAATACATGATTATTCTGATGATAACTTCAACTATAATTAATATATGATTCATATCTTTTAGAATGAATTTTAGATTCTTTATACTTGTCGAATTTAGAAATTCCAAACGAAAGATATTTATAATTATCAATTTTTCAATTTTTTATATTTATAATATTCTATTTTCTGATATTTAAATCAATTTATATTTGAGAATATACTATATAAATTATTCATAACAAAGAAAATATCAAAATAAATTTTTCGAAATTTCAAATTCTTTTCATAATATGAAATCTAAAATATATTATTCCTCATATCATAATAGGTCGTAGGAATTTCATTACTTATCAATATTTTCCCTCGCATCATAATTTTCTATTCATTATTGAGGACCTTAATATATGAATGAAATCAATTTCTCTCTTCAATTGATCTTAAATCTCTATATCTTCATTTTCAGGGTATCTTTATGCTGGGACGGCATAAATAATCTATGATTTCATTCTTGTCTAATATATAAAATAATTATGAGATAAGAGATCTGATAAATGAGATTTATGAAAAAATCAAATATTGAGATATAAGAGATATATTCGAATTTAATTCAAATATAAAATATTCTAGAATTATGAATTTATTTCATTATTAGAAAGAGAAGATCTATTCCAATATATTGAATTTCTTCAAATATTTTTTAAAATCATGGAAAATAGATTTTCAATCATTTCGTATTTTTGATATAAATTTCGATATATTTGAATTGAATTTGACTTATTCTCATTCATTTCTTGATTAGATTTATGAAAAAATAAATATTCCGAATAAATAGGATTTATTTAGATATTCATTATATATATTTATTAAATTTCCATAGAATAATTATGAAAATTATAATAACTATTCGATTATTCATTAATATTTTCGAGAAGATAAAAATTATATTGCTTTTTTTGATAGGATCCATAAATCGAATACTTATTAATAATATCATTCCGATATTAATTATATATAACGGAATGATCCGATGAAGAGACATTCTTTATTTCGAAATATATTTATTTTGAAATATCAAATTCTAAGTAATTATATTAGAATATGATATTAATCGAATAGAAGATATTTAATCATTAATCTCGAATAATTATTCCAGCGACCACCCCAAATAGAACGCATCGAATCATACCGCTTCAAATTGGAATAGAATGGATCCCAGTCTGATTTCGCCACTAGATTTTGCGAAGAAGAATTAGGCATTGGGCGATATATTTCTTCGAAAGAAGAGAGGGTGGTGGGACTCAAATACGTGAGAAGGATTTTGGGAGGAATAGGGAATATCGTTCAGAGGATCTTATTGCAAGATCATGCACGAAAAATATGAATATTTCTCCCGCAACTGCCATATTGTTGTCGCCTTTGCAAAACAGGATACCTGCCCTCTGCTGCAAACGTTCGCGAACGAAGTACAAAAGAATTTGGTATTCGCTTCGGTTGGCTATCGGACGGGAAGAAGACGAGAATTTTGCCGTGCATATTTGACAGGAAGCTGGGCAGGATTTTTTCGACTTATAAGTTAAAGAGAAAGAAAGCTCTCTTAATACGGAATCATTCACGTTTTCTCTGCTGACCGAACGAAGAGCATTATCCAGAAGATTTTGTTGCCGCAGGATTCGCACAAAGAAAAAACGCAATTTCTCTATAATTTTATATTATTATCATTTTTCAAAAATAGGATTCCTTGCCTCCGCTATAGTCATTGGAGGAAGAAACACAACAGAGATTGCTATATGGATCGATTGACTGTCGCACGGGAATTTGGGCGAAAAGAAACGCACACAGGGGTGCGTCGGATTACATCATAAATCAATAATCTTCTTTTAGACGGAATCATTCACGGTTTTGACCATATATCGAACGAAGATCCATAGATTCTTGCTTCCGCAGAAACCACGCACGGAAAAAAACTTACGTAATATTGCTGTTTTGCTTTTGCAAGACAGGATTTGTGGCCTCTGTCGTAAACGTTTATGGAAGAAGCGCAAAATATGATGGTATGCGGATCGAAATATGAATTTTGCGGCGCAATTATGGCGAAAAGAAGAGCAAATAGATTTGTCGGCTCAGAAGGCAAATAACAATCTTTTTTTATACGGAATCATTCACGATTGGGATCGCAGATCGAACCAAGATCCTTAGGATCTTGCTGCCGCAACCACGCACTGAAAAATACACGCAGCATTGCCGTTTTGCGAGACAGGATATGTGACCTCTGCTGTAGACGTCTGTGGAAGGAGCGCAAAATAAGCTGGTATACAGATCGGTTGGCTGCCACACGGGAAAAGCTAGCTAGGAACTTTGCCGCGCAAATTTGGCAAATAGAAACGCAAAGGGGTTTGTCAGTTTATATCGCAAGCACAAATCTTTCTTTATACGGAGCAATTCACGATTTTGTCCGTAGACCGAACCGAACGAAGATTCATAAGATCTTGTTGCCGCAGAAACCACGCACGGAAAAATCCCACAACATTGCTGTTTTGCAAGACAAGATATGTGGCCTCTGCTGAAGACGTCTATAGAAGAAACACGAAAAAGATTGGTATACAGATCGATTGGCTGTCATACGGGGAAAGGTAGGAATTTGGTCGCGCGAGCTTGATAAAAGAAATGCAAAGGGATTTATCGATTTATATCGCAAGCCCAAAAATCGTTCTTTATACGAAATTATTGACGATTTTTCAGCAGATAAAACGAAGAACGTCGTCCACAGGATCTTGCTGCCGCAGAAACCACACACGGAAGAATATACAACCTTCCCACAACTATTTCAACATTGCTGCCTTGCAAGACAGGATACCGGATTCCTGGCCTCTGCTATAGACGTTTGGGGAAGAAATTCAAAATAGATTGCTATATGGATCGATTGGCTGTCGCACGGAAAATAAGTGCGAATAAGCTTCTCGGCCCAAGTCCGGTTGCTGTGAGTGGTGGGTAGCGGGGCGGGGTAGCTGTAGCCTTTCGTAGGGGCACGCATGGACTGCAGCACTCGTTGCCGACTGTTTCCTGAGCCCACGCTGCACCTTCAGTCAGCGCGACTACGCATGCTTTTCATTACTTTGCTTGGCTTGGTGTTTTCATTTCACAACTTTTCTTCACACAGTATTCGTATTTGCCACATGGATTTTCCGGAGAACGCATGCAGTGCAGCAACAGCACCTTATGAGAACATGGTGATGGCCGCTCCGGTCCCAAGTCCGGAGGTTGGGGTCCCAGAAGAGTTCAGGCTTTTTGCTCAACTTCTGGATCGCAGTAGAAGCGAGGGTTGGGGTTTCCTTCGTCAGGGCCCTGAGAGCGGGATGGATATGGATCTTCAAAAGCTTCTTGCGCCCGCGAAAATCGACGATCGAGGCAGTCCTTCAGGGTTCACACAGGCTAGAAAGCGCTCCTACAAGCGAGCGATTCTTCGGGCGAGGAGATGGGGATACACGCAGTACAAAGGCACAGCGGTCGACGAAGGCGACCTCACGGGCATGTACACCAACAAAGCACAGCAAACTTGCCGTCAGCGTTACAGGTACACAGGGTCATTGACACGATCGGAGGCCTCGCTCTCTTTGCTTTCATGGAATTGCGGGGGACTCAGTACACTGCAGGATGAGCTGTTCACTTGGCTTGCTTCCACCGATTACCAGATAGTATGCCTACAAGAGACATGGTTTAAGAGTCACATGGACTACAGCACCAGGGGCTGGCATTGTATCAACTGCGGCGTCGGCGAGAGCGCAAAGCGGGGGCACGCAGGAGTGATGGTTTTATTGAGGGCTAGCCGATTTGATCAGCAGAGCATTCGCTTCAATTATGTGGTGGCAGGGCGACTCTTGCACGTGAAAGCCTACGGCAAGGGCATAGGCTGGGTGGAGATAGTCAACGTCTACCAGCATGCGTGGGGACTGCACGGCGAACAGACCACCATAGAGGCCAAGAGGGCTACGCTCTGGGAGAAGATGAGGCTGACGTTGGGCCAGATCCCTCAGAGCAGTGCACTTGTCGTTTGTGGTGATTTCAATACAGCGCTTCAGCACCGAGCTCCATATGTGGGTCGAGGTCTTCCGAGGCAGCAGCAGAGTTCGTCAGATGCAGAGGCTCTGGAACACATTCAGAATGATTTTGATTGCATTGCTGCAAACACTTTTCACAGGTCCGGGTCGTACACATACATACATGAGGGATTCGCGAAAGCGCGGCGCTCATTCATTGACTATGTGATGCTCCGAAGACACAAGCACCGCTCCATCACTTCCAAAATCATCAGCGATTTTGAGGTGGGACGCTGGCGAGCAGGAGGACGGCATCTACCTGTCCATGTGGTCTTCACGCATCGACCTTACTACTCCAGTAGTCCCAGAACCCCCTGCGCAGAATGGCCGAGCTGGAAATGCAAACTACTCGCTCAACAGGTCAAGGAGCATCCCGAACTTGTGGAGCAGTTTCAGCAGCAGGTTGCGGAATCACTAACGGCTGTCACCTCTTACGAGCCCCAGCAGCTGAATGACCTGCTGCTTGAGGCGGGCAAAAAGGTCTTCACGATCCGGAGGCCCCCGAGCTTACCTGCTCCAGCTGAGGACCCAGAACATGTCGTTACCATCAAAACCATGTGGGGACACTACAGGGAGATGCGCAAAGCTCAGCTGGATCGCTCCGGCAGTGGGCGGGCTACGCTGCGAGGAGCCATTCAGGCTTGGCGACATTGGATGCAGTTCCATCGCATGCATCGGCAGGTACAGAAACACAGTCGTAGTTTGCGACGGCAGCGGTTCGAAAGGCTCCTGGCTGAGGCGCAGGCCCATGAACGCTCGGGTTGCAGTTCGGCGATCTTCGACTTATTGCGTAGGCATGCACCGAAGCAAGCCCGTCGGCGTGCACAACTGCGAGATGTGAGTGGCAAGCTCATGACTCCAGCAGAAGAAGCACAGGTACTGCTCACCTTTTGGCAAAGTGTCAATGGTGGAACCAGGCCCAGTGGAGACGAGCCCACCAGCTACACGTTCCATATCACATGTGAGGAGCTCAGAGATGCTCTTCAGCGGTTGCAGGGTAACAAAGCAGCTCCCAAACATTGTGCTCCACACGTGTTCTGGAGCATGGCTTCGGAGCACATTGCCACGTTCATGAGCGAGCAGGTGTTCCATGATTGGCAGCAGGGCGGCGCTCGTGTCCCTCAGGACTGGGCTTCGGCATGGCTGGTGTTCCTAGGAAAAGCGGGCAAAATCGGGGATTCCCCGCGCATCTCAGGCCCATAGCACTGCTCGAGCCCATGGGCAAAGCGGTTGCCGGCATCTTGAAGGATCGTTTGATGCCGTTTGTACAACCCTGGACTGCACCGCAGCACCTGCATGGCTATCTCCCACACCGTTCTCCTCTTCAGGCTCTCTGTGTGGTCTTCGCACACTGTCGCGACGTTAGGGCGGCTGCGCAGGCACAAGGTCGCTCGCTTTACGATCTACGAGCAGGACACAAGCGAGGCTCATGCGCCGGTGGTCTACAGCTCAGTATAGATTGTACCCAAGCATTCGACAGAATCAGCCGCGACCTACTGCAGCGCGCACTGGAGATGATGGAGGTTCCCGCCGATCTAATCGGCATCATCATGCAGTGGGTCCATTCAACCAAGTTCCACATAGGCGGACATCCAGATGAAGTACAATATGGCTCCGACAAGGGCATTAGGCAGGGATGCAAGCTCTCGCCGACTCTCTGGGTCTGCATCTCGGTATACTTGCTTAGACACATGGACAACACCTTGGGATTGAATTGGTGCCAACAGCACGGAGTAGGATTCGCGGACGACTTACACTTCAGGTGGAGGTTTGAGGACGTGGCTGGCATGCAGCTGGCACTCAAACAGGCGGGCACCGTCTTGCAACTCCTTACTGCCTGCGGACTCATAATCAGCAAGGAGAAAACCGTTTGCCTGCTTAGAGCAGATGGGGTTCAGGCACCGAATGCAATCAAGAAGGTGGTACGCAAGACCAAACAAGGCAAGCTGCTCAAACTCGACATGAACTGGGAAATGCCGCTCAAGAAGTCGCATATCTATCTAGGGGCCTGCATCTCCTACGAGAACTTCGAGTCACAGAACATGCAGCATCGACTTCAGGCATGCCGTGCAGCTTTCAGCCGATTACGTACCACGCTCATGGCGCACAGGGCCCTCAACATGCACCGACGACTCCAACTATGGAAGGCAACAGTGGTGACCTCAGCTATGTACTCACTTCTGGCCTCGGGTTTTAGTGCAAAGACGATGGATCAGTTTCGGGTTGTGCTCACGCGGCAAGCCCGCGCCATTGCTCGCAGCCCAGTTCACTTGGACCTTGAGAACAATGATAAGTTCTGGCGGCGGATAGGCATCATTGCGCCAGTGGACATGATCCTGCAACGGCTCGAACGAGCCGTCACCGTCACCACCACCTTGAAGGCCAAACTGAGGGAAGATGATGCCAGGGTATCCAGTATCATCCTTGATCACGAACAGGCCGTTCTTGCTCGGACCCGGGAGATATCGACCGAGGCCCAAAAGGCCGCAGGCGACGCGGAAGACAGTCTGACGCATGTGTGTCAGGAGTGCGGCGCTAAGTTTGGCACATGGGCAGCGCTGCGTGCACACGCGGGCAAGCTTCACAGTCAGGCCCGAAGACAGGAGGCCAAAGAGCAAACACCCGACTTTGACCAGCAGCGGCACGGGAAGGACGGAATGCCCATTTGCTCGCAATGCAATCATCGCTTCCCACGGTGGGCAGACCTCCGCAAACACATTGAGGGCGGCCACTGTCAGGCAGCATCCACCATTGCGCCGGAGCCAGCATCGGGCACAGATAAAGACTCGGTCATGCAAATGGTCAGGGCAGGGCAGCTCGATGTGCAAAACTTGCGAGTGGAGGCCGTCACGGCTGATCTGCGAACGGAGCTCATGCAGCATTGCGCGCTTTGCAGGCAGTGGCACCACGACCACAAGTATCTTAAGAGACATTGGCAGCGCTCACACACGGAAGAATGGGAGACACATTCAGCTCCTACATTTCAGTGGCGCAGGCAGCATATCGACAAAATCAAGGTGATGTGTGAGTGGTGTGGAGCGCAGGTCCCGAGCAAAGCGGAGCACAGGGATACATGCCCAGTCTTGTTTCAGCTCTCCATGATCAGGTCCATCCACGTGAGCAACGAGCACAATGTACCCAGCCAAGCCAGTGCGCCTGACATTCCTTTTCCTGCAGAGGCAGAGATCAAAAGATGGCACGGAGCTTGTCAGTTGTGTGGGCTTACATGTACATCACGATCTTTGCAGAAACACTTTGAGACGGTGCATGCTGAGTCCTGGAGCATGTTGGGGCCACGGGTCAAACAGCTGTGTAGTCAGTGGACAAGTGGTCTGGGCAGTAAATGTCAATTCTGTCTAGGTGGCTACGGCAAGAAGGTCAAACATGCCAACAGCTGCTCTGAACTCCTACAGAATGCATTGTACAGTGTAAACCGGCATCGACAAACACACGACGCTGGAGCCACATTGCCCGACCATCATGACGGAGGAGTTGACCACGGCGGCCATGCAGTTCCAGGAAGTGTTCGGTCCGGTGTTGGGGAAGCGGTTGCTGCAGGAGGAGCCGAAGGAACAGGACAGACCGAGCAAGCAGAACAAACCGGCCAACAGGGGACCCAAAGGCAAAGGAAAGGGCAAAGGAGGGGGAAAGCAGTTATGAAGGCCACAGCACCAGCCCAGCAGCTGGAACAGTGGATACAGCGGGGACATGGACTGGCTCGTGGACGCCATCCAACTGATGGCCAGAATGATGGTGAGACAGGAGGATGTCCTGCACGTCCTCAGGCAGTCGACCGGGTGGGTGTGGTGGCTAAGCATCTCCACACCAACCATAGTACCGGATCTTTTCCAGGCGGCGCAGGTGTGGCGGAAGGAGGTGTCCCAACCCGACAGCAAGATGGCCAACACCAGTCTCCGATCGGCGCTCTTCTGGTGTCTGCTGCACCAGCTGGCAGCGACACTGGGGAGCATGGACCAGACGAAACTGGCGGAGGCGAACAAACAAGGCTGGCTCACGGCGGAGGGCAGATGGGTCTACCAAACATGGTCGGCAGAAAATCAGCAGCTCATGGTGGACGAAACAAAGCCGGGCATGACCACTCAGGAAGTCGTCCATCTACTGAACGACATGCAGGGCTTGGTGAGCGGCGACACAGTATCGCGCTTTCACTTCACGAGGCCACTAGTGGAACAGATGTCGGGGCACATGCTCACCATGGTTATGGACATATCGTTCCGCAAAGCCTCAGCGAATGCGTTATACAGCAAACTGGAGAAACTTCAGGGAAGTGCGGCGCTACAGGTGTGCGGAGTTCAGTATCGCAAGGAAGGCTTCAAGCGCTCGCCGGGAGCGCAGAGGTTGCTGGAGCTCGTGGCCTAGTCCGAACCCTGGTTTTACGGAATCCTAGCAACTATTGCTACATCAACACTGCGGTTCGAGGTCTACTCTGGTCGCTTGTCTCGCTCGGGCAGTGGGCGACAGTCTTCACGAGGACCGGAAAAGAAGCACTTAGCCTCATCCTGAACCATCAGCAGCGGTCCCTCTTGATCATTGGCATTCCTATGTGGAGGCTGCTGCTACACGACTGGGGGAACCCACATATGCAACACGATGCGTCGGAGTTCCTGTCTTTTCTGCTGTGTAAGCTAGGTGCCACACGACTCACATGCCAGTGGGAAGCTCGGACCACCACAGACGAGCACTGCCAGGTTGTGGACAGGGGCGATTGCGTGGAAGCAATCACGCTGGATTTACCCGGGGAGGTCGGGTCCCATGCCATGCAATCGCTGCTGCATCACTGGCATGCGCAAGCACATGTTCATGCGCTGACAAATGCAGGATCACTGCTTCTCTTCAGACTAGCCAGGTATGCGACGGTGGATGGCCACACAGTCAGGCGCAGCGATGTGATCACATGGTCAGAGCGATTGTACATACCGGTCTTCGATGGCCAGGGGCAGACCACGGAGGTTCATGAGTACACAGTGCAGGCCGTGCTCCTACACCACGGCGCATCCTTACGCCACGGGCATTATACCCTGCTCATGCATGCTTCAGATGCGGATTTTCACAGTGATGACGGAATACAACCACAGCAGCAGCCTAAGCCGCGAAGTCGTATACACACATCGGCGGATGTCTACATGTTCTTCTGCAGGAGGTTGGATCCTGGGGGAGATGAGTGATGATCAGGGGCGGGGCACTGCTCCATTAGGCTGCAACTTGTACAGTGTTGCAGTGGCGGGGAGCAGCTCGAGGGGTATTCTCTTTGTTTCTACACACATACAGTTTCTGGCGACTGGATGCAAAACATCTGTACAGCTCGCATACCATTGTTACACATGTTCAGTGACAAGCTGTGCCTTGCGTTGACACTGTCGCTCTTTATGCTTTCGTGCTTATTTTGAGTTCTTGTGCCTGATCGCCCCAATTATTCTCGAATCACAGTTTCACGAAATCTCGGACACATCCCTGGTGACGATGATCCATGGCTACAGGCTGTGAAGACTCGGATGTGACCATGCAGGTGTTGCGACTTCCTGCCCCGTGGTTTGAGACAGCACTTACGCCTGAGATGTACTATTATGACCCTCGCCCGGACGACGACATGCCGGATGACGATGCCACCATCATTGACTCTTCTTTGCACAGCAGCTCCAGTCAATCATCTATGGCCTCCGATTGTTCTTGCTGCTCTGACGGGTTTGCGATTGAGTTTGATCTTGTGCGCACGCTGACAGATGCTTTCACTGACATGGGGGAGCGAGCCAACCAGCTGGCATACACCTGTCTGCATACAGGGTTCGTGACATTTAGTCAATTACAGCAGCTATGCCTTCTTCTACCAGTCGATGCGAAGCCACGCAAACACATGGTGGATAGCAGTCACTACTACTCGCGCTGCCAGGAGTCCCGGTGCTTTACAACAGGTGCCTACATCTTCGGTGGCGAAGCGGGGATCCGAACAAGCATGCGTACTTATTTGTGGGTGACGAGGCTACTCTGCTGTATAGTCAAATCTGCTGCGGGTTCGAGGCCCTTTACAACTGTCACACTCTCGCTGAATCAGCAGTCTGGGGTACATGTGGATGCACATAACAGCCGGACTTTTCAAAATATTGTGATTCCGGCCGGCTATTGGGACGCTGGCGAACTTTGGGTCTCCAGTGACAGTGGATGCATCACATTCCCGGGTACCGAGCTGCTAGGCGATGTTGTGCCAGTAAGACACCCTTTTACCTTGCTGGATGCAACGCAGCCGCATGCAGTGTTTGACTGGACGGGAGAGCGGACGGTCGTCATTGGTTTTCATATCCGAGATGCATGGAGACTTCAACCGGATGATCTCGCCATGCTTGCTGATGCTGGCTTCCATGTTCGGACCTGTGAGCGAGTGACTGACCCATACATGTCGGTCATCGAGGTACAGTGACTGCCGCTTGTAGCGCCTGTCAGTTCAGTTGTCAACCACTGCTGCTGAAGCGTGAGCTTTTCGGCACTTAGAGGGCTGCTTCACTTAGTCTGCCGCTGTTGTCTGCCGCTGTAGCCGAGTTTTTTGTTTCTTACTGTAAGAGGGCTCCTGCTTGCACAAACGCACGCAAGTGTTGAAAGAGCCAACTCCTCTCGCCTCGAAGTTTTGACGAACCTTTTGTACTCTGTGTTCTAGTGTAGTGGGAACCGTGCACTTGTCGCTAGGGCATACGTGCCGGACTTGTTGAGCACTGTCTAACAGTACTAGGGGCCAAGCGTCCGCAGAGACGCCAGGTTGCGAAAACCTGTAGTGCCTGAGCTAGGCGACCTTCGAGGACGCTGCTGGTGAAAAATAAGTGCGAATTTTATCGCGCAATTTGGACGAAAAGAAGCGCGCACAGGAGAATATCGGATTACAATACAAATCAAAAATTTTCCTTTAGACGGAATCATTCACGATTTTAACCGAAGACCGAATGAAGAACTTCGTCCACAGGATCTTACTTCCGCAGAAACCACGCACGGAGAACACACACACGAACATATATAGCTTTCCCACAACTGAATTAATCCGACCCTCAACAGCAGCACAACGATATTGGGGTAGGATCGCCGGGCAAGACAAGGAAATCCAAACGGGAAGTCCAGTCCGAAGAGGATCACAAGCTGCAAGCGTACCTCTTTTCTCAATACTTGAATCCAAGACCATGAGATTGGCAGATCAAGCTATATAATCAGATATGATATCTATATAAGGACAGGGAACGTCGCATTCGATACGTCGCATTCGATCAACTAATTATTATAATATTGCTGCTTTGCAAAACAAGATACCTGACTTTTGCTATAGATGATTGCGGAAGAAGCACGACGCAGAGAGGTATACGGATCGGTCGCCTATCGGACGGAGCAAATTGGGAATTTTGCCGTGCAAACTTGGCAAAAAAAATACGAAAAAAATACGAAGAGATTTATCGATTT